AACAGACACTACATCCTGACCTTAGCCAACGGGCCGAGAGGCAATCAGGACTTGTGGGGCTCTTATTTGTTCTTTCTTTACCAATCGTCTCGACCCAGGCTGAAGAATCAAGCGGGTAATCATGTTCATTCCACCAGGTTGGGAAACCCAGAGGGGTAAGAACAGACACTACATCCTGACCTTAGCCAACGGGCCGAGAAGCAATCAGACTTATGCCACTTATGGCTTATGGGCATGGGTCTCTCATTATTTATTTCTTTTGTTACCGATCGTCTCGACCCAGGCTGAAAAACCAAGCGGGTAATTATGTTCATTCCACCAGGTTGGGAAACCCAGAGGGGTAAGAACAGACACTACATCCTGACCTTAGCCAACGGGTCGAGAAGCGATCAGATTTTTGTTTTTCTGGGTTTATTCAGCTAAACTCGTTGTCTCCAACCTCATCTATTGAAAATGAAAGCATTGGACTTGGACATGGAGCTTTTAAGATGGGCCAAAATACATGTTCACTGTATCCGGTTTACAAAAGACTTGCGGTTTCGCTAGTTGCCGAGCCACTAGTAACACTAACGACTTGTCAGCGTGTAAACCTTTTTTTTTTTTTTAACTCACCATACTGCAATGCAATCCTATAAGATGCACGAATAATATAGGAATTAAAAAAAACAACAAAGTTTTGGTAAAATTTAACTCAAAATCATGAGGTGTCAATATTTTGTTATTATTTTTCATTATCACCCACCCCTTTCCAAATCTCATAATCTCTTTGTTTTGTGATTTCTATGTCTGCCAACCGTTCAGGAAAGGAAAATATAGTTATTGAAATTTCCTGACATATTTTTGTCCGAACTCCAATGGGCTTACATTCTGACAAACATTTGCATTTTTTTATTTTCAGCAAGAACCAAGAGAATAAAAATGACTTGAATAAAGCTCTTCTCAAAGGAATGTGAAGCAGAATTAACTTTTTAAAATAATTTATAAAGATTTCGGTATAGGTTATTCATTTTAAAAAAATAAAAAGGAGTATATAGTTTTAATAATTTTGAACCCATTTTAGAGGGAAATTCAATTTCAATAAGAACATAATCTACATCAGAAAGTGGTGACTATGAGATGATATCATTGACCTGATGACTGCCATGAAGTCAAAACACCAGTTCTGTAATGTCATTCTGATCAGGGGTCGTCCATTAATTACGTAAACAATTTTTCCGCATTTTTTTTACCCCCTACCCCTCCCCTTATCAACAACAGTCAAACTTTCAATGACCCCCCTATTTAATTATGTCAACATTTTATAATCCCCCTACCCAAAAAAAAAAAAAAAGTAAAACAAATTAATTAATTATAATATAAATAAATTTATAAATACTTTTTACTTTGTGCTGATGTATTTTTAATAACACAAAATTGTAGGAAAAACATTTTATTTCATCTTTAGCTTGTTATTCAACAAGTTAGAAAGTTTTTACACTTCAACTTAAATTTTATAATGCAGAATCAATTAAAAGTTTGTTAAAGACTAAATATCATTTTTTGTGGAAGTATAAATATGATTATTATCAGTATAACTGACAATTATATTATAGTTTCTAGCTGTTATAATCTTCCCATGGAGGAGCCATGTGTTGCTCTATCGTAACAATGGGCACCAGGGACACCATTTGGGTAGGGCATGGGGGCATTTGCCACCACCCCCTCGATTTTGCTGGTTTTGTTTAAATTGCTATGTACTATGGCGCCTCCGGTAATAAACAACTTTGGCCTCCCCCCTCCCTTTCCCTGAAAAAATACCTGAAATTACGCCAGTGGCGTAGCGAGGTTGTTTGGCGCCCGGGGACAAGATTCGCGCCCGGGGACAAGATCCATTTTTAGCGCCCCTTTTTCTTTTTTTCAACTCTCAAACCCATTATTTTCATCAATAAAATAATATCAAAGCACATTTTGGCGCCCCTAACTAGCTGGCGCCCGGGGACATCTGTCCCCTCTGCCCCCACCACGCTACGCCTCTGAATGACGCCCCTGATGGGCTTAGTCTATAGTACAGGTAGCTGATTTATCATTATCATCTTGCGGAACTGATAAACCAGACAAGTCAACATCATCCTTATCAAACAATTCAGCACTTAAAATAAAAGTATTGTCTGTGTGAGCAATAGTTGCCATAACCATAAGCTCTCTCTGTCTTTGAGTTGGTATAGTTTTTATTGAACATCGATGAGTTGATTTGGTTTGTTTTTTTTAAATTGAACACCGTGTACAATGGTGTGTTAATCACTCTAGGGAGCGGGTTAAAAGAAAAATGACAGGTGAAGAGATGCCAACTTTTGACTTCTCTTGCACTAACAATGTGTGCTAACATTCTGACCAGCCATCTGCAGTGCACACAGACACATATTTAATAACTATTATATTGTTAAAAGCCTAAACATGTATGAATATTTACACTCATTAAATTGTTTAAAATAATGTAGGAACCAGTCAATTTTTAAGATTAAAATTTTAATAGGAAAAAATATGATTGTTGACGTCAACTCATCTACCCCCCCCCCCTTTTGCGAGGGCAAAGGTCGCACACCCTACCGCCTAAAAAAGGCTGGCGTTGGTGGATTCCGTTCAGAACGGGGAACAGTTGACATGATAGTTGCAGCACGCCAGCTCCAGGGTCATGTAATCTTAGGAGACTGCCCGCCATTGCGAAAGTTAAAGAAATGTTTATTCAAGATCTCTTATTTGCTGATGACTGTGACGTAAACATCTCTCTTATATGCTAGTGAGAAGTGGACTCAGTACAACAGACGCGCTGGACAACTAAACTATTTCTACCTCCCCTTTCAAAATAAACTTTTTGGCATAAGGTGGCGGGACAAAGTCCACCCCCCCCCCCCAACAGAAGTCCTACAACAGGCTGACTTTATCAACATCCACACGCTCCTACAAAAAGAACAAGCCATATGGACAGGGCATGTTGCAAGAAAGCCAGACAGCAGACTTCCTACACAACTGTTCCGTGAACTCTCCAGAGCGAAACATTCAGCTGGTGGGTAGAAGAAAAAAAAAAACGTCCCAAAGACTGCCTAAGAGCTTCTCTCAAATCTATGGACATCGACCTTAAGTCGTGGTAAACACTTGCTATGGATCGTACAAGCTGGTGAGGCAGACTGCTATGGATCGTACAAGCTGGTGAGGCAGACTCACTGTTAGAGCACAATCTTCAGACAGTATCAGTAAGCACGCTGCTCACGCGCTAAGACAGCGCATGGCAAATAAAATCAGAATCGAGTCCAATCCAACTGGGACTCAAAACAACGTGTGTCCTACGTGTGGGAAAGCTTTCCAGGCACAACTAGGTCTGGCACGTCAGCTGCATACTCAGTTGAATATAGCCTTGGTTACCTTCGCATGGGAAACCGAACAACAACATTTTAATATAAAATAGATGTAACAATTTCATGATACAAAGTTTTATTTACCGGTACTCTAAAATTTAAAATTCCAAAGTTGTGGGAAACTCGAATTTAATGACTTGATATTTAAATCATTCACACTTCATTATAAAAGTCATTTACAAAACATATATCTCATTTAATTGTAATTTGAACCGTTATAATTATAAAGCGCAAAAGATATAACACAGCAAGGTCGTCTACACGTGTTATATCACAATCTGCACATAGGGGAAAATAGTTCAGTAGTAAAACTAATTTTTCGTTGAGTCCGATTAAAATTGATTTCAACATATAATTAATAATAGTATTGATAGCTGTAGTGTAGTTTAATGGTCAAGTCACCTACAGAGGACTTACAAAATGAAGCTTTCTTGTGCCAGAGAAATAAAAACGAAGTACTGGTACCCGTAGATAAGATTGAATATCTTAAGTCTTAAGTAAGGTTAACTTTGACTTTGACCATGTGCTTTTAACAAATCTTGGATTAGCTATAGGTACTATGAAGTGTGTGCATTGAATCTTTTCACAATAAAATCATTCAAATTAAAATATGGGCTGCACATAAAAACTGTTTTAGTAAGAGGTGGCTGGCATTTTTTAAATTTCTGCTGCATATAATTTATGAATGTATGGATCATCTCGTTTTAGGTTCACTTCAGTAAAATAAAATTTAATACGTTCACATGCACAAATTACAATGAAAATTACATGAAAAGGAGAGGAGCTCAAAGTACGGTATACAATTATAGGAGCTAAAAGTTCAATAAAAAACTTTTAAAAAAATAGGGTACAAGGCAGATCCATATTAATCAGCAATCAAACATCCAAAGAAACCAGGCATCCAGCCTGCATGATCCACTAATCAAATCAATGTGCGTACCTATTCTAAATTAAAGCAAGACGTCCAGACCAGGAATGTCTCAATCTCATGGTCCACATTTGAAAATTAGAACCTCATTGATACCATGTATTAATTAGTGTGTGTACGCTAGGTACAGCATTCAGTATGGATGGATTCACCAGCACTAGATCAATAGGACAATGAAGCTTCCCAAGGTATCGGGTAGAGTAATTCACTTATTACCGGTACCGGGTACTACATTTACAATAATTGTAGCATTTTTTAAGACTAATTCAATTTCCACCTTGAGTGTGGCATGTTATTTTTTTGTTGCTTACACAGGTGACAGTGACAGCCAATTTGCTCGCAGTCTCTCTCATGGTAACCTGTATAAGGTCAAATCTTTGTTGTGTCAAAACTGTGTCTACTTCACTCAGTGAACAGCAGGTGGGACAAAAAAACAGGAAGGGGGTTTAGAGAAGCTCATGTGGATATGCGAATGAGAGCAGGATTAAATGATTGCTCGAAGTTAAGAGCAGGATCATTTGCTTCAGTTAAACTTTGATCTTTTGAACACAATGCATTTCTCTTAGAATAAATGAACTGGTTTCTTAAGAGCTCTTAAATCATAAAATCAGATTCACCAAATATTTCCTCACAACAGATTCACCAGATATTTCAACATTCACTGAAAAAATCCAACAATGTGATAGTGAAACAAAATCATTTTTTTTATTTCTTTCATATTTTTTTGGTTTATGTATATTTAAAAAAAATAAGGTAATGACTATTTACAGATGAAGAGAACACAAGTTCCAAGAACAAAATGATTTTCCCCAGTTAAGCAAAAAGAATAATTAAAAAAATATTTAGGTTTGGTCCAAAAACTAAAGATTTCAAATTGATTTATTTGACTAATACAATAATAATGAACAATAAAAGAAAATATATTCAATGTGAAATACAAAGAGTAATACATAGGTTAAAGGTTAACTAAATAAAAAATTAGTAATCAAATGAATAATTTATAAAACTAACAACACTGAACGAAAAATAAAATTGTTATATAAAAGTAGGTCTGGGAAAAAAATACTGGAGGGATGGAGCAAAAATAAACAAATAAATGCACCAGTACTCATGCTTTAACTATTATGTTTGCTTTTTTCTTTTTTTTTTAATGGAAGGCAGTGTCTTGTGAGCTGAGAGAGAGAAGGTGGTGGAGAGCAAGTTTGGTCAATTTTGAATCTGATCTATATCTATGACTTCCTTCATATCCCTTTGATAACACTAACAGGCACCAACTGAAACGCTTCCTCATTTCACCGTGATTGCTTTCTATGAAAACAAAATCTAAAAATGACATGACAGGTAATAACTTTTATCAATATTTAAATCATGCCACTAATTATAATAAATGCTTTGTCATTTCCAGATCCTCCATGTCCTTTGAAGCCTGGTTTAAATTTAGCTGGGGCCGGGCTGATTTTGTCCTTTAAAGCTTACCTATTGAAATAAAGGGAGATAAAAATCAAATATATATATACACAATCTTTATAAGAGGTAAACTTAACTTTTCCGTTCCATAAAAACCAAGACAACAAAACCCATTCTGGATCAATATTCAATTCAAATTTAATCTGAAAAACTTATTGCAACATTGGCGAGGGGGGTAATATTTCAAGTGCCACCAAAATAAAAATAAAAACATACCTGGAGTACCCTTCCTTGGAAAAAATATCCATTCAGACAGTTAATGGCATTTTGTGCTTCCTGATAATTTGTCATTGTGACAAATCCATAGCCTTTACACTGATTCTTCTCATGATCAAGCATAATGTTCACTTTCTGTACGGTACCGAATGGTGAAAACAGTTGCCAGAGTGTTCGGTCAGTTGCTTGAAACCCAATGTTGTACACAAATAATGTGTAGCTGTGAAGATATTTATGGCTTTTATTTCACAAGGCATGATAAAGCTTTAGAAAAGACACAATAAATAGCAACTTCAAACAAAATACCAGTACCGGTAATATATAAAATCTATATCAAAATGGTGACATGTACTAGGTTTGCTAAAACTCAGTCGGATCTTTCACGTTGTATTGTAACATCATTATTACAGTACCCCTCAGATCCTCTTGAATATGCTTGACATATTTTTTTCCATTCCGCTTTGTTGCGCAATCAAACAATATCAGTGTTAATACGCAAAAACCTCCTTTATTAACAGAACCCCCTCAGCCTACCCCCCCCCCTGCTTATGCTATATACAGACCTGTTTACCCCCCATACTCTTAAAACCGTACAATATCATCACAAAATCGTTAAAAACATTATCTTAATAGTAAAAAATAAACAAAAGTATATTTAGTGTATACACCTCAAAATCGTACATTGTACGCCAAAATCGTAAGAGTAAACAGGTCTGTATATAAATGACCCTTAAGCAACATCTCATACAATAGCTAACGCTTACTGAATCATCACCAAGTTTGAAGCATATATAAAGTTCAATAGCTACCAAGCTTAGATGATGAAATCAACAAACACATGAAATCAACAAACACGTGAAATCTATTAAATAGTTATGAACTTTTAGTACGGTACTTGCTAGTAATGCTAGTTGTGGTGATCAAGTTCATGCCTGTAAACTTGCATTAATGTACTCCAGATTCTATACATAACCATTGATTAATTACTGGTATTAAATGTTCATGCCTCTCTATAAAACTTATGAAGACATTTAGCTTAGACATTAGGGTTTTATTCAAAAGTAGGCTTTTCAAGAGTGAGTTAAGGCCAGAACTGTAAATCTTACACTACTGAAAAGAATATTTCATCTAGTACATTATACCTGTTCAAGTGCAGATTTAATTAACTGTCAATCACTCTTAAATTCTTATAACTATAAATAACTGCTCTTTGTTATGGGAGTTCAAACCTTTCAGCACTTAAGGGGAGAGCTCTTGATATCAACAATAATAAAAAAAAAAACATGCATATTTTATTATTTCAAAGATAATTTGATTGTCACTTTTACTAATTAAGGTCAATCCTATCAGTAAATTTGATGGGAAGCAGTTATTTAGTTTGTAATTCAATATGAAACTACTGTTTTGCTGATCTTCTAACAGTTTGTAATTCAATATGAACTTACTGTTTTGTTGATCTAACAAATTTCAAAGTTTGAGCAAAATAAATGTTAAAAACATACCCTCCTTGCTGAGCCTGAGGTACTCCTGGTGAGCCATTGAAGTTACCAGCCATTGGATTAAACCGCTGGAAGCGATTCATTTGGTTTCTCATTGGTCCCGGGGCAGCAAAGTTAGGAATAGGGACATATTGTACAGCACCTTGCTTAATCTTTTTGGTGTTATCATCAGCAAATTTGATCATAATTGGCTCAGTGCAACCATCTGGAGTTTTACCACTTAGACATTTAATGGCATTTTCTGCCTCATCTCTTGTGTCATAAAGAACAAAACCAACACGCTTGCTTACACCTGTTGCAAGATCTACCAAAACTCTTGACTGAATGATTTTTCCAAAAGGATCGAATATTTTATTTAACTCTCCTTCTTTCCAGTGTACTGGCAGGTTTCGGATATAAAGATTAGCCCCCTTGATCTGGTCCCCACCGGGTCTGGCTAGAGCTACCTTGATTCTCTTATTTTGGAGTTGCAGGCCTGAAAGTGTCTCAATAGCACGTTGAGCATCAGCTGCATGTTGAAAGTCAACAAAGCCAAAACCATAGCTGTACCCAGTTGCTTTGTCACGGACAATCTTGGAACTTTTAATAGGCCCAACACTGAGAAACATAGATCTGAACTCAT